TTGGTGCCAGCACCCTAGAGATTAAAGACCAAATTTCTCGGGTGAAGCGCGGGACTCTTCAGAGACAATTGAGTCCGGTAGTCCAACCTGTCGAAAGACACGATCAACAAACAGCGTCGCTGAACCCACATCGTCAATGGTTTCCGGCACTACCGCAAGATGAGCAATCTTGTTCAAACGGTCTACAAAGACCACCACACCCGCGTGCCCGCCGAGTCCTTCGGCAGGCCAAACACAAAGTCCAAACTCATGGATTGCCAACTCCCGGAGGGTACCGGTAAACTGGCCAGCGGCGCCGCCGCATTCGGAAAGGATTTCACCCTCTGCCACGTCTCACACGTGCGCACATCTGTGCTCGTCCATTTGTACAGCTTGGGCCACCAATAGTGGCAACTCACCGAGCTGTCACTCAATTCTACCTCAGTTGTGATGCCACCAACAATCGCTCGTAGAATCACCGATCCTTTCTTGGCCACACCCATCATCCGGCCATCCAGCAACTTTCAGTTGATCTCGACAGAACACTCCACTACGTTTGACAGCAGCGCAGAGTCGCTGACGAGATGTCGGCTGGCACCACTGTCCAGGATCCAGCTGTTAGAAATTACTTCCTGGGGGCACCAAGCGCGAGCTTTACTGACTTGCTCTTGTCGTTTCCAGTGGAACGCTCCGGGCAGTCTTCTTCAGGTGTCCAACCTTCTTGCAGGTGTGGCATCGCCGCGTTTCCTCTTGTGTTTTGGACACGGCATTTACGACATCTTTTCCAGCATGCTTCATTGCTCGGTCCTCATCAGACATCATCTGCGCCCACACCACCAACTCGTTTGCTTGTTGGAGGAGATCGGATTGCGTGATGTCACACTTGGCCATCAAAGCGTGCCTCAAGTCCGGGTCCGCGTACTTGACGATGTTTCCAAGTACCAATGTAGGTGACGCGTTTGTTGCCATCATGAGAGCTCAGCTTTACCACGTAGATGCTGGCCGAACTTGTTCGCTTGTACCGTTCAGGCCAGGCGTAGCCGCACGCCTGCTCCGCCATCTCGATCTGCTTGATGAAGAGCAGCGCCCACTGCTCGAAACCAATCCCAAGTCCCTTGTAGACTTCACTGTCGTCGAAGTTGTGCATGTAGATCGTCGCGTCCTTGGCCGGCAGGACTCTCTCGGTTAGTACGCTTGATAATGTGCAGCCGGTTGCTGGGCCGGATACTGCAGCGGTGTCTTTGAGCTATGAATGGTACACCTCGCGCTTGATCTCCATTACCAAGTCCACCACGTACGTCTGGCGCCGGCGCACCCATGACAAAGTTTGAAGCGCCGAGCTCATGCATTTACATGCGATGCATATCCAGGCTGCCTCCTTGCTGCAATGCCTGACGGTACACGCTTTGACCAAGTCCGGTCTCATGTCTGGGCGGCGTAATCGGCAAGCCCTGCTGTTGCATCCCAAGCGAACGCTTCAAGCTATCGACTTTTGCCGCGATGTTGGTCATCAGCTCCACGATTCCTCCAAGTTCCGGCGCGGCTTTCTCTTCCTGTAGCGCTGCACCCCTTTCGTAAGCGAGAGGGGAGGTGGGAGCCGCCTTCGTAGCTGTATCCCTTGGGCTCATAACCTTTTGTTCGGGCTTTTGTGCTGAAGAAGGTAGAAGTGAAAGTGAGCAATAGATCTAAAGAGTTTTAGCTGGATTCTTAACGCACACTACACGTTAACCGCAAAGACACGCGGTCTGACAAAGGCACCTGATCTGATTAGTCCTAATGTCTACGCCTCATTCAATTGGTCTGAGTAGCGAAACCTAAAGGCCCACGCGGATCCGGCTTACGTCTGCCTGCAAATATGATGGCTTTTCCATTAATATTTAACAGCTTGTTTCTGGACAAATTTGAGGCAAACTAAGACGTAAGCTCCGTCAGTCTTGCCGAAATTCGGAGCTCGAACTTCCACAACTTTCTGGAGCGAGTGCACCCTTTCCAGTTTACCAGACACTTTTACGGCCCTGAAAGCCCGCCGACTGCAATTTGTCCCACATAGAAGTGCACCACCTCTTGTTCATCGAGATGATCTGGCGGAAGGCGACATTCCGTGGCTAGCTTTCACACCCTTAACTATGGCGGCGCATTGACTCCCCCCAAGAGTCTTGGCGTCGACCAAAACAAGCACGAGTCAATCTCCAGACGCGCTCTCTGAGCTGCGCAGTTGGATCGGTCAATTTCTTGTAGCCGCTTACCACAGTACAAAACCCAAGTTAAGAACCGCTCACACTCTCTGACCCGAGTGAAACTTATACCTATGATTAGGCAAGTTAATGGCTGATTATACTCAAAACAGTCACTACAACAGCTTATGCTTGTAATTGCGATATTGTAGAAACCTCAGGAGCAGCAAACCACTTGTGCCTTACAATACCGACGTCGTGTGTGATGCCCACACTAGGTTGACTTGATGTGAATTCACTTAAGGCGATGTGGAAGATCTCAGGTCACATCGCGCAATGTACTCAAGTCTTTTACAAAACCATCATTGCAAGTATAACGGCTAATTAAACCGATCGGCCTTTCCGTTGGAAGTGTGCTTCCACATTGATATCCAAGGTTCAAACCACGGCCAAGGCGGGCCAATCGAGCTAAGGCGACTGCCAGCAATGCCACTGCATACCGCCTATCAGTCTTGTCCAACCTTGGTGCCCAACATTCAAGAGCATCGGATTCAATAAACTCTAATGTAGCTGGACGGTGGGTATATTTCGTGGGAATTACCTGATTGTTTATTTCTATCGACTAGTTTACATAAAATTAAGTCGATGATTATTTATACGTGAAAGGGATGACGGGGAGTCAATAGTATGCTGTCGTTCACGTATTTTTAAGATTTATAAAGTCGAGAGCTATATTTGTCGTTCACGCAGTCATTCAAAAATGACGCGTTCAAAGATTAAAGTCTTCACATATTGTCTGCAGTTGCAATGATGACGATGGCAAAGGGTGGAATTGGTAGAATTGTGTGGCACGTTGACATAAGTGTCACTTTTCTGACCACGTGTGATGTACCGTACATCTTTAAGCATTGGCCACTGTGTTTCTTGCTGCTGCAACATGGGTAAGGCCAAGAAGCTGCGTTCCATGAGTCACAAGAAGCGCCGACCACCTACAGGTGGTCCGACTATCGCAGAAATCGAAGATCTAAAGGCCATGGACTTAAGCACTATGTCCGCGGATGAGGCGCAACTATTTAAAGGTCTCATTGACCCGCAAGGTGCCGTGCGCGAGGCAACGTGCGTGGCCATTGCCACAATGTTTGGCGATACGGAAAACGAAGAAACTGAAGCCAAAAGCCGCCAAAAGTTGCGATGCATGGTGGATGCCGGTTTGCTTAAGAATCTTATTCCGCGCGTCGTGGACCCGCTGCCCATGGTTTGTCAGCACGCACTCGGCGCACTGCGAAATATGAGTGTAACGGGTGGACTAGAGCTATGCGAGTTCATGACTACTCAAAATGTAATCACTCCATTGGTCAAAATCATCTCGACAAATGCCACAGACGTTGTACTCAACAGCAGCAATGATCCACGAGCCGTGCAGCTGTTGGAACAGGCTGTGGCGCTACTTAGCAATCTATGCGAAAGTTGCCAGGCTGCAATTAACGAGTTGACCCACGGCAACTTGATCTCACCTATTTTCAAAATTGCAGCGCAGGCTTGCAACCACACAGCACTGCATTTGGAGACGCTTAAGCTATTGATGTTGATCACAGATGGCAACGCGCAGCTAAATGAAGTCATTGGATCTAATTCTGCCTACCAGCAAACGATTAGTGCGCTTATTCAAGCCCCGATTGACCACATTTCACTGCACGTACGACTAGAGGCGGTGGGTATCGCCTTGAACGTGCAAACAATCATGCAAGTAGAGGACAATATTGCACTTATTATTCCTGTCCTGGAGGCAGCGCTTGCATATGATGCAATAGATGTCGTGCAGATGGCGCAGCAGGCATCAGAAAATTTTATTCTCTCGCAAAAATCTCTATTGGAGGACGAAGATGTGGATGACGACATGCTGACAAGTGAGAAAGAGCACATGATTACGTCTGCGCAGATAAAAGTTCGCGTGTGGAGGGATTGTGTCCAAACACTGACACTGGCATTAGAATTGGTTGCTCATTTGGCTGCGTCTGGAGATGTCGACGAAGATGAAGAGGAATGGGCTAGCGATGATGAGGATGCTATGGAAGCATATGCGGCGTCTCAGATGAACGATGACGAAACCATTAGGGATGGCGTCAGCTCAGTCTCCAAATTACTGGAAACTAGCCGCGTATTTCCGCTCTGCGTGACAATATTGCAAGGACTCGTGTCGATTCCACAGCTATCAACGAAGACTATTGGTAAGATCATGTTGAATGATGCCTAACACTTTGATGCGTGAACTTACTAGCTATTTCTTGATATGCTTACTGCAACAGCTAAAGATTTCGAAAGGATGCGTATCCGTGTCTGCAATGCTGTGAACAACCTCCTGCTTAGCATATCGTGGGAAGTACTTGGTGAAAAAGTGATGAACCAGATTTTTCGCAATTTGTGTGCTCTTTACAGAAATAATAACCAGAAGACTGAAGCTGTTCCAAATACCTTTACCGACTTTGGACTTGAGAGTAGTGCGACAAACGATCTTGAGGTCGCCGTGACGGCAGCAATGTTGTCAGCGCTGCGCTGTAGTATCTCCAAAAATTGCTGGCTGGAGATCGCTACTGACGATGCGCAGCTGATTCTGAACTGCGCGGCTCATGGACGCTCTGATGAGTCTCGGCTGAATGCGATGGGTATGATTGGTTGTGTGGGCAAGCGCTGCTCTACTTTGTCTGAGAAAGAGGTGATCAGTCGCGCTTTAATATCACGACTGGATGATTCAAGCCTCGAAGTGGTGGCTGGGACTCTTAATGCCATCTTTGACGTTTACGACGACGAAAAGTTTGACGACACGTTCCGGACGTTTGATTTTCTAGGCGCATTAAAGCGCACATCTTGTGCGTTAAAGGCGAAATTAAAGGCCGAGCAGAAAGAATTGGATCGTGTTCTCGTAGCTCACGTGAAGGAAACCCGTCTTAATCTGCTGCGTTTCATTAAGTACAAAGAGAAACATTTGTAATTAAAGCTACACCTGTTTAATAACTTCGTGAGTATTCAATGTGCTAACTCTGCTTCCATTTACGAATCAGTTGAGACGTATAATTGAATCCGAGTACATCGATACCCAAGGCGCATGTATCGCAAAGCTGCTCGACCTGTAGCATAAATCTGCGGGGCTTGACGCCAGTAATTAATTCCAGGTACCAGTGGACCATTCAAATACCAGCGAATGCCAGTCTCAGCAAAGACGTCTTCTGAGCAGTCAGAAAGATCGTAATTTTGAGCCTGAGTAGAGGGTGTGGACGACTTGATTACACCTGCAGACACTAGCGTGGTGTTACACACGCACTGAATTAAGCTCGGGTAAACGACGGTAGATGTGATGGTAGCAGAATTTGTGACGGTGGAAACGACCGATGCAGTTGATGTCAACTTAGCACCAACAGCGATGAAAAGATACAAAGCGAATGAGATCTTGTGCATAGTTATGATTTTACTGGAGTAGGCATTCGTAACTAACACCCGACCTTCGACAGGATCAAAAAAACATTTATAGCTCAATATGCAGTTTACGCCACAACAACTTGTTGGCGCAGGGCGCTATGCACCCAAAACTCACGTCGGCAATTGGAATGAAGACCGAATGCTCGAAGAGGCTCGAATGAAGGAGTTTGCGCTGCGTAAAGGACAAGGCTCGTTGCTGGTCACACACACATTAAAAATGGCTTTTTTAAACGAGAAAGCGCCGCGCTCACTCGATTCAGAAGGCCTTATCCGTTTTAATCATGTTGTGGCTTTACATCACATTGAGTCCGACACAGTTTTGGCGTGTAATACTTTCGAAGAGACCCCTTCAATTGGCAGTAACGAGTATCTCGTCACTGCCATGTCTTCGACTGCTTGTCTCAGTCGAAACTCATTTCGTCTAATATCCCCACAGACGTGGAAAGTGGCAATAGCCTGTGGAAACTTCTCCCTTGACGCCCCCAGCGAACCTTTGCACTACGACGAGCCATATCTTATCATGTGCAATGAGAGTTTACTTGTAGACGACAAGAGCATTTTTTTGAAATCACCTCTTTTCCTTATGTCTGGTTTAAAGACTGATCGATCGATGAGCCCAATCACGTACAAGCAGCGTGTGTGGCTAAGTGCAGATGCGGACAGTGGTGCACTGTGGAGTTGTGCTCGGGCTGACTTGGCAGGAACAGATAAATATCTCGCTGGCGGCCAGCAAATCATGTCTGGTGACCGAATTACCGTCGTGCACAAAATGACCGGACAGGCTTTACTTACATCTAGTGGCAGCAAGCAGCGTACAGACTTTGGTATTGAGCTTGAGGTTTCCGCTTATTCTGCCAGAGAAGCTGGCAAGCGACACCATCTCGCAGCCGAAATTGAGGGCACACGTACGCCTGATAATGAAGGTAACCGCAATATGGCCTCGAATATCTGGACGTTCGAGCTTGCTAAGTCGACTGACGAAGCTCGAGATGAGCGCAAGTTGCCCCGATTTGCTAATTTAAGTTCTGTGATTGATGTCCTTCACAGCTGTCTAGGGGCAGACCACTTGTATGCATTTCGAGAATTGATTGTCGCTTTCACCCGAATTAATACAAAGGGAACGGGACATCTTGATCATGAAGTGGCTAAATGGGTGATTCGCCAGCAAATAAAAAATCTTCCATTGCGCGATGAACATCTATCCTTGCTTTTCGATCACTTTGACAAGCAAAAGACTGGCTACTTCCCGCTAACTGATCTACTTCAGGCGTTGCGTGCTCCGGTTATCGGAAACCGCAAAGTGCTTATCAGTGCAACCTTTGATCGGCTGCAACAAAAAGCGCCTGATAAAAGGCTCACGCTTGCTTCTATATGCGCGGCCTACAATCCCTCTATCGACTCGCGAGTCGGACCGCAACAATTACAGCCCAGCGATGCAGTTGCAGCGTACAGAAATTTGTGGCCGAATCAGGTTTGTCGTGCTGATTTTTGTATTCCAGCTGTGATGATGACAATTATGTGGTGGGAACAGAATACGAGTGCGGAAATATCGTGCTGTGACTTTATCGAGGTGTACTCAGATATATCTCGAGTTGTGGCTCACGACAATCACTTTGAGCAACTTCTTGCTGAGAGTTGGGTTAAATAAACGATGAGCATCATGATCTCTTACATCTAAATAGCTATTAAAAGTTCTAGAGCTCAATTTAGCAGAAATATCGTAGTATAAAATCTCCCATAACACTTTATAAGATAGACTACGCAACTAAATCATTGCTGATCACAAAAGTTGATGCGGTGCCATATGAACTGGACGACTGTACTGATAAGTAGCTTCGTGACATCTTGAGAACAAGCGTGTGTACCATGCATCATACTGGAGCTGTTGTGGCCAGCCTGTCGTTCAACATTATCGAGTATGACTCGGCCGTAGTAGGTCTGCGGTGTGCTAAACAACATTTAATGAATTAAAAACATAGTGGAATGATGAATGTGCTTAAACGACAAACACGAACGGCAACGCATTTGACAGCTCTTCTACAATATTTCCGGATGTTCTATTAATCGAGCCTTGAGTGTAAGATTCGCCTAGAAACCCGGCTTTCGTGCATAAATAGACGTCTCTGTCATGTAAATCAAAATAAAGACAATCATTTATGCTGGCACCTATTGTGCGTCATATCTTTTGATGCTATAATCGAAGTGACCACCAAGTACGACTAACGCAACTTTATAAACCGCTGCTAGCCAATCATGCTACCGTCTCGCGTGCCGTCTTCTCTGCGCCGCTACGCCTCCACGTCTACGCGCAACACTTTCATAGATCGCTTGCGGAGCGAGTTAGCTGAAATCGAAGCCGCTGGCACATACAAGCGCGAACGCATCATCGCGTCCCCACAAGGTGCCGAGATTTCGGTAAATGGCGATACTGTGCTTAACTTCTGCGCCAATAATTATCTTGGTCTAAGTAATCATCCAGCAATTGAGAAAGCCGCGATTGACGCAATCAAAGAGCGTGGATTTGGTCTTAGCTCTGTGCGCTTTATCTGCGGTACGCAGGATATTCACAAGCAGCTTGAAGACGCAATTTCGGCCTTTCACGGTACAGAGGATACTATTCTGTACCCGTCATGCTTTGATGCCAATGCCGGTCTATTTGAGGCCGTACTCAGTAAGGAGGATGCTATTCTTACAGATGAACTAAATCATGCCAGTATCATTGACGGTATCCGATTGTGCAAGGCTGAGCGTCATCGCTTTAAGCACATGGATATGGAGGATTTGGAGCAGAAGCTTAAAGACACACAGCATTGCCGCACGCGGCTCATTGCAACCGATGGTGTTTTTAGCATGGACGGCGATGTCGCACCACTGCAGAAGATTGCAGAGTTGGCGGAAAAGTACAATGCGCAACTATTCATTGACGAGTGCCATGCCACGGGCTTTTTTGGTCCTACAGGACGTGGTAGTGACGAATACTGTGGCATTTTTGGCAAGGTGGATGTGATCAACTCGACCTTAGGAAAAGCTCTTGGTGGCAGCACGGGTGGTTATACGACTGGCCGTAAGGAAGTTGTGGATCTTTTGCGTCAACGCTCTCGTCCATACCTTTTTTCGAACTCGCTGGGTCCGTCTGTCGTTGGTGCCTCACTTAAGGTCTTTAAAATTCTTACCGAGTCATCCGAACTGGTTAATAAAATTCGGACGAATACGCACCACTTCCGCGATCGTATGGCTGCTGCGGGGTTTACGCTTAAAGGTTCCCGGTACGCTGAAAGTTTTAGAAGAAGTGATTGCGATCTAGCAGTTAATTGAAACGAGAAACACTTGCTCATATAAGATGTTGGTAATTGCAGTGACCACCCGATTGCACCTGTGATGCTAGGGGATGCCCGACTTGCATCTGAACTGGCTGACGACATGCTCAAGTGCGGCATATACGTCATTGGATTTAGCTATCCGGTGAGTATACTGCCACATTTACATATTGTGGTTCTCGGTAATTGATTTTTTTTCATTCTTGCAGGTTGTACCCAAGGGTCAGGCGCGTATTCGCGTACAGCTTTCAGCTGCTCACAGTATCGAAGACGTCGACAAAGCGGTGGACGCCTTCATCAAGTGTGCCAAAGCACGCGGTATTATCAATCAAAAATCTTTGCCAACGAACAGCTCGAAGCTATAACTCTTGCAGAGCAATTTGGAAGCTGTAATGTTTATGTTCTTGACAAAACATCATGAATTTCTAGGCTGCTGCATTAAGTCCGAGTATAAATCCGAAATACGCTTATATGCACTTTCCAAATCGTGGTATTATCAAATTTCGTGACAGAGAACTCTACCGTTTAGTTAACCTGCATATGGTGAGATGCACTTGACAACTCAAAACTTGACGATAAAGCAGGAATTGGCAAACTAACAGATTTTGGATAGAGGTCAAATTCTGAAAAGGCAAATTTATAACTATGTTGATCACGCGAGACATCAAAGCATGAAATGATATAGTATTGGCATAATTTACACAACGAAGCTGTTGTCAAATAATGTGCAGTAAAATTTCTCAAAATCCAACAGCAGTTGCAAGAGGATGCTGAAATTAGCTTTTATGACTTCAATAATGACAGGGAAGATCAAGAATGTGGCTTTCTTAACGAAGTATCAAACGTGGTTGCGTCGGCTTATTTAAGAGTGTGAGTAAAGTAAACGTAGGTGCAGCAGAGGCAAATAGCGTGAGTACGTGGGGGCTGATACAACATTAACTTATAAGCCAGACAAGGGCCCTTCGATCATATATCCAGTCAAAGAGGCTTCGATAGAGGGTCTTGAAAACATGCGCATTTCTCTGCATTGGCGTCGCCAATGTCAAAACTTGTACAGCATATCAAATGGAGGCAGTGACGAGATGACATCTGTTCAAGCAAACTTTACAACGATGCGTCAAAGTCGGATAGCGTTGCAGACATGGACTTCAAAATAGTTGCAGTTTTCGAACTGATCACAACAACTGTGACCAAAGAACTATTTGATACCAACGTATCGCTTTCTGTAGTAACTTAATTTTGTTTGATTTATGCTGTTCTATCGAGCAGCATCCGAATCTCCTGTACTGCCCCAAACGTAGTTGAACTGGAAAGCTTTTGAATCTCTTGTATTGCATCATTCGTGCTGCTTAATCGTTGATCATGATATTGTCATTTTTTTCCCAACACCTAGAGCCAGATCCTTGTCGCCCACGTATTATAGCGAAATTATTTCAAATAAAGCAAATTGCTACTGCTTTTCCAACCTCGACTTCGTTATTCATGTCGATCCGAGCTTGCTGGATGTTGCCGTTGTTCGCTACAGCTCCTTGAGCGAACCGGACGCGCCATAAATTGCTCGGAGACAGTGACAGTCGCCATCCCATTGTACACAAGAAACTCATATCCATTCCCAGAACGCCGCAGATCACATACCTTTAATTAACGTACCGTCAATTGTCACTCCAGCAACGTTAGAGATTTCACGTCACCATTCAATGCTCGATTGTTTACATACTCTTTGCAAGAAGAAACGAACCGCTCTCGCTCAGCGTGAAGAATGTGTGGATTGAGTTAGTGCTCGGGGGCCTGTAGACTAGCCGCAAAATACATGGTATGCATCCTTCAAACTTTTTCGCGATTCGAGACTACACGAAAAGTTGACGATTATGTTGAAAAGTTAGAAAGCCTTTTAATATGTTGACAGCTTTGCGACTGAAATTGCCACAGTTGACCCGGTGGCGTGCGTCGAGTGGTCAATGCTTCTGGACTTTACGTTGAGTGGCGCGGGTTTGAGCCCCTCAGCGGACAAAATCGTAATCGTACCAGGCATGCAAGAAATGTCGGCTGCATTCAAAATATTACCGACGACAGCCAATAAGGACTTCGGGATGGCGACTCGTACAAGAAAAATCAAGAATTAAGGTTTAGAAAAGATATTCCAGCGGAATGAAGCAATGTAATATCTTAGTCAGGGCCGAGTAGGTATAGCCGTGTAATAAGAAAATACATAGCAACTTTCAACTGAAATTGCCACAGTCGCGTTGGAGCACCCATGTCCTGACGAAAGGTACTTCTCACGCCTGCGATGGTTCGTTTCCAAAAGCAAGGTGATCCGGTGCATGAGTCAAAACGTTTGCTGATAACCGAACTACTTGAAGGTTGCAAAGAACTATGCGAGCTCGGGACCTAAAATATACATTCTGTCTTCTACTGCAAACACTAGTAGCATGCGCAAATAACATAGTAATTGTGTATTTCGAGCTATTATTTGAGCGAAATCTTGAACTATGCCACGATGATGCAGGCCATGCTTTCGCTATCGACAATAACATTGCCACATTGGTTACTGAATGGCCAAGCATTTCAGCAGTACATTACAGTATTGGGGTAAGAAATCTCATCCTTAGTATTGTTAATTTGTTAATCTCTTTCACCGGTTTTAAAGCTGCCAAATTGTCAGTACCGTTCAGTTCGCTCACCCGGCTATCGCATCGCCTAACAACACTCCTAGTCCCGACTCAGTTTGATCTTTGCCACCTGTTTCCGCGTCGTCGTCTTTGTTCGTCAGATTGTGAAATGCTTCATAGGAGCTATACATATTGTACGCATAATACCATAACATCATTTCGCAACTTTGACCACAACGACAACTACGGTGTAGATTCTATGACTCGGGAAAGAGGAATTTCTCAACTATGATGATACCGTCTTTTTGGCATCTTTCGATTTGGTCAAAAGCATGGAAACAATTCGAGATGAAGTTACAAAGTAAGCCTTGCTTCTGAACACTCTCATTTTGGAGACAACGTTGGCGGGGAATCATATGCGACGATTGCACCTAATTTATTTATCCGAGGGGTTTTTACTTCAACAGGACAAATGGCAAAGTTAATTTAGTGTTGATAAGGGCCGAACCGATTGTGACGTGCACATGGTGATTGAACTTAGGTGTAACAAGTTGGTTACAATCATGACTCGAATGAAGTCATCCACCCTACGTCAAAGCGACAAATCTCACAGTAACGTCATGAGGTGGACAAAATGGTAGACTCACTCACGCGAAGCACGTGAATGAAAGATGGGCTTCGTATTGACATAGCGCTGTCACCAGAGAAGCACGAAACATTGAACTCTATAGGATCATACGAGCAACTCTACGTGGGGTACGCACTGTGGCTGGTGATATCTTATTCATTGTATTTGATTTTTTATGCTTACTTAGTGATGGAGGAGGTGTAACGAGGTTACAGATACCCTGGTAACAGGGGTGTGTGTCACACCAGATGGGCATGATGTGACCACACCCACACAAGAACACGGTCGGGGTTGGATATCCAGTGGTTATACATGTATTTAGAGTTTACTATGCAGATGGGAATGGTGTGACCACACCCACACAAGAAATAGCCAGTAGTTATGCATGTATTGAGATTTAACTATACATATTTAGAAAAATCTATGCTTTTAAAATTAGGCGGCTTAAAAAATAAATAAAAAGTCAGTTTTGAATTCAAACCGAAAAGCTAAAAGGCCTTGGGTTAAGGCTGTAATTACTCATTGGAGAAGATTCGGTAAACTAATACTTGTTCTGAGTATAGAACGAGAGGTCGGTGACCTAACTTACGCTTCCTCAAAGCGCAAAGCTACGACAGGCCCGCTGCAGGAGGTCGAACTAAATATCTTGTAAAGTGGCGGGGATACGCCGACTTCGAGAACTCGTGAGAGTTCGAGGTGCCACTTCGGCAAGACTGCCCGGACGCCGTGGGCGCTTATGGTCAGAAGGATCATGACGCTCCGCAGTAGCCCGGGAAGCCGGAGGGTCATTAGCTGAGCTCAAGCTATGGCCCTGGGCTGCTGTGGTCGTAGACTTACCGTGTGAGAAACCACAGAGCTCGCGGGAGCGTGACGAATGATCCTTGTGTCGCAAGGCGACAATACGGAGGAAATCGGTGCTGCACCTTGAGTTTGGCAAACTCAAATCGAAGATTGCACTCAACGCACACGCCCACTTCCTTGAGGCTTCGCTGTAAGGTAGACAGCGAGTAAAGTTTCCGGTGCCGCTGCACCCGTCGCTCAAAGAGCAACCCGCCATCTGCAGCGGTTTCGCCAGGGCGAGCACCACAGGAATAGATTGCGGGTATAGGAACGCCTCCTCTTTGAGTTCGAAGTCAAGCGCGGTACCTATCCATTAGGATTTCTTGAGGTACCAAGAAGCGAGCTCGGAAAGATTTCCGCAGGTCAAGCTCAGCTTGTGTAGTGTCCAGAGGCCTGATTACGTAGACGCCTAACGATCGAGTGATTGCGTTTTTCTCATCAGTAGCGGTATTCGTTGATCGAAAGCCGTACCCCACAAGAGGGTCTAGGACCAAACGTGGAAGTGAGCGTATGAGAGCGCCCTGTTTGCAGCCTCCAACTGCTGCTCCTGTGTCTCGTCGAGGCGATAGATAACAATACCACTTCCCCCGGAAATCGAGAGGTCGGGGAACGGACACGGAGTCCGCAAGGTTCGAGCTGGGCTCATGCGCGCCGTTGGCGTACCTCATCCTCGTCGTCTTCAAATGCTGGGAAGTAGTATCCGGCTCGTAGTCGACTTTCTCCTAATCCTTGACGAGAAAATCCGTCGCCCGGGGCGGGCGCGGTATGTGGTGCTCGGTTGCCGAGGGCTTGGGATGTGCTACCCGTGAAGCCGCGGACGTACACTTCGGAGATGCACCCCGTGCAGAAGAAGAAGGGCTTTGCCCGCTGACGCCCTGAGAACCTGCTAGGCTGGGCGCTTTTTATGTCATAAACACAGGAATCAACAAGCGAAGAATGTTCCTAAGGACTATACGGTGTCTCAGACACACGAGCCTAGTATGAGGCGACAGTTAAATGTGAATTGTGGGTACTCACAATTTTAATGGGGGAGAGTGTAACGGGATTACACGTATCCTTGTATGAATGGGCGGGTCACACAAGATGGTGTGACCGTGCAAAGGTGTGGATCACAGAAGTTGGTGCAATCACATAGTGGTGTGAATCACACAAGTTGGTGCAATCACATAGTGGTGTGGTTACACCATAACAAAACGCCTCTGTGTGATAGGATTGGCAGTAGTTGTGTATAATAATTAGGTTTTACTTTCTAATTTGAAAAACCTAAGGTCTTAAATATAGGCGGCTCTACCGCAAAAAATCAATTTATACATTTATAATTTTGAACGGTAGTGCATCTTTACCTTGCTTAAGGTTCTAAGTAATTTTGGAGGTAGCGGATTGCGATCCGCTACACTCGTACTTGTTCTTGTAAAGAACGTAAGGTCGGTGCCCGTAGCTTAGCTTACGGCATTCACGCTGCACGTTATATAAGAAATAATGTATGCATTTGGGAACACGTAATCTTCTTTTATAAATTCTAACAATGCATACAGAAGGTACATAAATGTATCATCATGACTTCGAATACCCTGAAACTTCGGAATGCCCACGAATGAACAAAGTCTTGTTCAATTGTACAATGTTGAAATTTGCAAAATATTCAGAAAGGTTTAAGATGTATGTACATAATAGCACAGTACATACCTCGTTACAACATCCTCCACAAATGTGGGAGCCACTTTGGGTCACACTTCACACTTCTCTTGTCTGTTATAAAAAATGTGCAAAAGTGAACGTTACACCCAGACTTTCTGTAACGATCAAATAACACCACGTGTTATATAACGTTACTTAGCGTTTATTAACGTCTTGCATAACTGCATACGATTTGAAGATACAAGAGGAGCGACTGTACATACGAAATACGACATTCGAAATACGACATACGAAAAACGACATACGAAAAACGACACAAAATACGACAAGACCAACACTCACAAGTGTTTATATATTTCATAGGATTGATAATCAGTTTTATTTGTTTAAGCTTTTATAACTCATTATCGTATTTGCTTCCTCAGAGCAACGTAGAGCATAGGTTACGCTTGCCTATAG